ATAGTGTGCTCTTGTACTGACTGATACAGCTGAATGCTTCTTCATGCTGGAGGAGCTGTTGTTATGCATCTTCATTGCCTTCCCTTATCAGCCACCTGTGTTGTTTTAAGTGTGGCTCGCCACCTCCATATAACCCCAGGGCTCTTCCCATAGCCCTCTTTGATGACTACCTTCTCCCTCTCCTCCAGGGACATTATCCCTGTACATATGCATTCTGTAAGCTATCTCTACTCCCCAAATTTCTTCTTTCTTTCTCCTCTTCCCTATCTCCTATTCCTTACATCCTTAGCAGCCTGTGTGATCCTACGTCACAGTCTACTTCCCCTTCTAATCCTGACATTGCTAATTTCTCACCAAGCCTCCATCCCCAAAGCCTTTCCCTGTAGCTCCATTTCAGTCTTCAGAAGGCAGCTTCATTGATTTTCCCTTTGCCTGTAGCTACTTTGAAGCTTCTGAAAATTAGCTTCTTTATTTCAACGGACTACTTCAAATTTAGTGTCGTTGATCCTATAGGTTTTTGTCTCTTCTTCTTTCATCAAGACCTCTCTCAGGACTGATACTCTCTTACTCTCACTCTCTTACCAGTGGGGACCTTCCTTCATGCTTCTATTTGCTTTACAAATTCCCAAATCCAAAGCTGCATTATTCATTGAGGCTCATTTTACTAGCATGAAAATGTTTATCTCTTTTATAAAACAAATATGATGGGAAGTCTGTAATGATGATTTGCAGATCCTCTCTCACTATCTTAAGTCAGCAGAAGTGTAGTGTCAAGAAAGGCATTACAGCTGCCTTTGAGAGACTCCACCTGGCTCACCTGATGATGGTTCCCAGGGTGCAGGTACTAAAGTGGACAGTTCAGTGACTGGCTGTTAATAATATTTCCGCTCTTAAGAGGAAGAAAGTAGATTACAATCCCATTTTTTTCCCTGTCAATATTTAGAAGAACATCTAAAAACTGCTTGGGAACTGAAATGAGGATTTTCCAGCATTAGGGACTGTGGGAAAGGATTATCCTCAGTGACGTAGCTTTAAATCCTGTTTCATTTTAAAAGCTCCTACTTCTTCTCTTCATTTTTATTTCTGTTTCAAAGGCCTTTGGTTGTGCTTTCCCTTGGGGTCAAGCACATATCCCCTGAGAAATCTGGGGGTGGAAAGGCAAGAAAATTTCAGGAAATCTCTTCCTTAGGCTGTTTTTATGATTATTGAACTCAAGTATTTCTCCAGAGAGAAGAAAATTAAGCTTTTGGAAATATGTTCTTTTTCTGCCACTGTTTATATCGCAGTTAAAAGCTTTTTATCCAAGCCTACCAGAAAAGTGACCAACTGGCATCTCAAGCGAAGAGACACATATGAAAGGGTGCTTCACTCTGCAACTGCCACTTATTTCACATGGCAGTAAATACACATTGGGCTTTTCAGAAAACACATGAATACTAAGCACTATTTTTTTTCATTCTTCGTAATTTATTCATAATCAGGTTGTCTTCACTTATTTATTTGGGTCTTTCCAACTGACATCTGGAGAAACGCCATTTTTCATTTTGTTTGCTTGGATAAGCTTTGAACCAAGTTCTTGTCCATGTTACTAAACATTTAGAGCATTCTGAAACTTCTATGGCAAAGTGCAAGAAATGTTTCACTTCCAAGTTGTCTTGAACAGAGGCCAGATACATACATTTTCTTCTGAGGTATATCTTTGGTGGATTCTCCAGAGCTTGAGAGTCCTTCTTTTTAAAGATTTATAATCCCTAATAAAAGATTCATTCACTTTAAGAGACTGTCCAGCCATTCTCTGGTGCTTCCTTGAAGCAAATTAGGCATTTAAGATTGTATATGCGCAATATAACATCATGTAAAGCCTGGTAAAATCTACATTGTAGTGAAATCATTGACAGAGACACTTAAGGGTTCAAAGAAAGGAAAGATGCCATCAAGAACACAAGAACTATTATGCAGTTCATACTAAAGGAAGGTCTGTTCATACCTATATACACCATTCTACAAGTATGTTCCCATTACAGATTCAGGAAGATAACACTACCAACAAAAAAAAAAGAGTTTCAGCTTACCTGCCCGAAAATCTACAAGAAAGGATATCATAAACAGGAATTTCCTCTGTTCCTGAAATTAATGGGTTTTCTATTCATTTGATGGATTTTTCAAACAATAATGTCCCTGTTCTGTTTCTTTCTCTGCCTTACTCTTTTCATTCGACTTCTTATTCACACAACATAAAACTATCACAGGAAACAGTCACACAGATCTCTGATTTAGTTGGAACAAGTATAAACTAATCACAGTTTCTTTGTTCAGCTCATCACTACTATTGGATTCTTTGATTTTCTGTTGTTTTGTACTCTCCACCAGCCATATTATTTACTGTTTAACGTAAGTTGCAAACTCCCAATTAAATGGCTGCATATCGTTACTCACCTACACACAGGTCTATTTTGTCAGCACATGCCAAGCAGCATGTCTGAATGGATGTGATGCCACCAATGACTTCATGCTGATGCATCTCATGCATGTGAATTCAAACAAAGAACTTAACCCAAAGGCTTGTGGAGAGGTAGCAGGCCAGTTCAGCTTGGATTTTTCTTTCCATTATAAACCTAACTCTGATTCCCATCCAAAATCTTCAGAGAACATCCTCTGTGCTTCAAACTTTTCATGTTTGGCCTTTTGGGAATATCTTCTACAGATGACCAGAAACACCTATCAGATTCCAGGCAACTTTGAAAAGATGCCAGCAGAGGATCTTCAAAAAGCATCTTGCCTCTTTTTTCCCTTCTGAACATAGCCTTAAGACACACCATTAATGTGATTTTTTAATTCTCATGATTAATGAGGTTTTTTTCACAATCTCTTTTTTTTCAGGATTAAGGGGGGGAAATTTGATCTTTTCTTTCTGCCTGCAAGCATGTTACCAGTGACAGTCTTTGCCAGTGACCAATCACATCGGTGTGCCTGATGGAACTGCTATATTAGCTTCTGCTAAGATGGACACCGCTGCAGCTGCAGGAAAAAAATTCACACACCCCCCCCCGCCCCACCCATTCCTCTCATCCAGGCCCTATCTGGCAGATGTCTTTTGGAAAACATCCCCACTTGATGGAGCATTTTGAAGAGAGATTACAAACTTCTCTCCTTCTGCTTATGTTACTGGATCTAGAGCACTGGATCTACTGTGTACACTGGAAATACCCCAGGGGGATAACTCTTCACCCTTCACCCAGAAATCACTATAAATCTCTGGACAAATGAGTCAACTGAATGTGTTTCAATGGTCTCCTATTCAAAGCTATTTCAAGATAGATTTGGCCACCATTTCTAACAGAAACAGCAGGATCAGCTTAAAGATCTTGAGAAGGGTTTCTGGTAATACCACTTCTCTGGTAAAAGAAATAAACATTTATCAGCAAAAGGGAGATTTTACTAGATGTTAATTCATTTTTTTTAAATTTCTTTTGCACTCAGACATCTCTTGGTAATACGCATTCACAAAGCAAACACCTCATCTGACAAAACACAATAGCTAAGAAATCTTACTCTTCCCATTTGTGCTTGTAATACTGCATCAAACTTTCAGAGATAACTTCAATTCAGACCATGCCCAGCACAACTCAGAAGAGTTGAGCTAATCTGTGTTTGCCAAAATGATCACATAGAACAGGCTCCATTGTTTGAAGACCATCCAGAACAGAACGTCTCAGGCTCTGCCATCATTTTGTACTATCCACCTTCTTTAACAACCTTATATGAATGTTGAGAAACAGGAAGACACAACAGTTGTCCTTCCAAGACATGCTTAAGATTCTTATGCCTCGATGAAATAGCAGAAATGACAGTCTCTTATATTAGAGTATTATTTTGGTTGTACTTAGACAACAACTCAGCAGGATGCAACTAATGGCTTTGTGGGATTAAACATGTACATGGGCAAGCTCAGACTGCAATGGAATCTTCCCAACATGCCTGTGTTTTGGGGCAAGCCACCAGAGTGCTGAAGTCCACCATAAACGCTGCCCCACAGGCATTCATGGAGGGAATACATGCTTTCAGGCAAATTTGTCACTGAACATCCCTCTGGGGAGCACTTAAAACAATCAGCAGTTAGGAAGACTTGTTTTCATCTGCCCTTTTCTAAACTAGAAGCTGATTACCCAGAAGCTAACCATCTGCTGTATAAGACAGGTAATAAAACATAAAAGGTATGTTGTGAGATGGGAACGTACATGAATATAAATTCCAAGTAAAATATCATACTAGAGAACTTTACAAAAATGAAGCACTGTATTTTCCAAGTTTTTAAGATTTAGTTCTCACCGGCAGTGAATGAAGTCAGGAACAGGATTATGCTGACTAAAAGATGCTGCATCAAGATTCATGCAGATTTCCACATTGTCTCCAGCCATGATTCGTACTGCAGCTTTATTTTCATCCTCAAACGTCTGCCTTTGTAAGGATGCACACAGCAGCAACATGAAATCATCTAGGCGAAAGCAGTGGTTGCAAG